AGGTGGAGCTTCCCCAAGTCCTTGTTCAACACTCTAACCACTAGGCCATCTTTTGATATCTTTCAAAATAAAGTGTAAGGCAAATGAAGCCTTAGCAACTCAGATTCTTTGTTCTCCAAGTTTCACGGTCAAGTGTGTGTGGTTTAGATGTGCAGGTGGCAATCCTTTGCGCGCTTGCTAAGGTCCCATGGAGCTCAGCAGTATTTAGCACTGTGTGTTTAGGGCTCTAGTGGCTTTCTAAGAAGTTTAACCAATTTCAGAGGGAAGGTGAGTAAAGCTCGTTCCCCCTGGAGAAAAACACAGGCCTTCCTTTCGCTGACCTGGGAGGCCACCACTTCAAAAGTTTTGCTTAAGCTGCCCCACATAAATATGTTTAGGAGAAGCGCAAACATCTCCGCTAGAACTGGACAGCACATGCCAAAATATATAAAAACAACAAGCAGAAAGCCATCAAGAGTGCTGCTTCCTCAAGCAACAGAGATGGAAACGGAGTAAAACTTGGAACTTGAGCAATTCGTTCCAAAAAAGCAATGCAAAGGTACTTGCTTTTCCCCTGCCTTCCCCCACATGCCCCATTGTACTGTGGGGTCAAAACAACCATCTGGAAAGTGCCAAGAGGCACCTTGAAATGAAAGGAGGACTAACATGAAAGCTCAGAATCTACTCACTCTGGAAACGTTCCCCTGTTGATGTGGCATTTCAGATCTTTCTAATGCCATTAGTTGATATTTTTAAGAATCAATGTAGGCAAGTTTCTCTCTCTCTCTCTCTCTCTCTCTCTCTGTGTGTGTGTGTGTGTTAGAATGAATTTTTTGGGGGGAGTGATCACATTGCTTTTTTTATTAGTTCTCCAGACATTTACCACAATAGAAACAGTCCAGTTTCAAACAAAAGAGACAAGGATTCTCCTGAGGTTTGCCACCTCACGCTGCAAACAGCACATCAAACCATATGTTCCTGTTTCAGATGGTTTCCAGGTGGTCATATTCCACAAAGCTTGAATTCTGAAATGAGGGAGATGTGAGCTTTTACAGATCCTTCGGAATGCCTTTGGTTCATCCAGCTGAAGCTTAAGGAAAGCCCAATAGTTTTCTCACAAAGAGTTCTTGCAAATGTTTTATTTAAACTTTAAATCTACAAGGGTTATTTGTTTACTTCTTTCAGGAGATCTGATTAGCATATGGCTGGATCAATAATGGTGTTTGAATTTGGCAGCACAGTCTTCTAAGGCCTGGACTGAGCCTGTTATGTCAACACAGAGTAGGACCATTCCGGGAGGTGGGGGCAAACAAACAGAAGACTTGAATCCACTGGATCTAAAACCCCTTCATGATATGAATGACACATACCTAGACTCAGCTACATTAGTCAAAAAACAGCATTTTAAATGCATTATAAACATTCAACACCAGATGGTGCTGCAGAGCACAAAACTTTTTTGAGCAATTTTACATAGGGTTTCCCCCACCCCCTTTGTTATAACAATTTAATTTATGAGTTATTTATAGTGTTCTCCCCCTGTGTGTAGATCCACCCCTACAGCTGGGTCTAGAACCACTAATATCTGCAATAAATCTTTCCAGTCATCTTTAATTAAGCACTTAACTGCACATGCTATAGAACTGTGTACAAGATCATTCACATTTGCTATTAAAAACTTACTATTCGGGAATAAGCTTGCAGCTAATGTCTCATCGCAACTGCCCCATGTTACATAATAAATGGCATTTATTAAACTGCATTTGTTCTAGCAACTAGTTTGTTTTTTAAAAAAATCAGATTTATCTTTTTTAAGGAAGGAAAAGAAGAAGTTCTGAAGCAGTTGAGAATTGCCAGGACTGAGAGCTCAGCATTTTGACCCATGCTTCTTTGCTGCATATTCAGTGGATCATATGATTGCATATTGAAAATGTGCAATGACTTTTAAATTATATAGTTCAATTACTGGAACTGATCTGCTCCCCACACCTTCTGAAATTCCATAGCCCGGCTGCAAATTGCTACGATGACCTAACTGAGCAGGTTCTTAGTAGCTCAGAAGTTGTGATGCACATCACTCACTCAAAGCTCCCATGCTTGCAATGCTACTTTGATGATTTGAACAGAGGAAGCAGTTCTGTGTGAGTATGTTGGCTGTTCCAATGAAAAGGAATGCTGTAAGCCAGACATGTTAAGAGATCTATGTATGCAAAGACATACACATACACATTTAAATAATAACAGTAGCCTCACATTTACATAGCCCATTGCAAGAAGTTAAAGCACTTTATTAAAGTAATCCTTCCTTCCCTATTTCCCAGGGACAGTCCCGGATTCACAAAAGCCATCCTGGTTTCTACTTTGATCCCAGAATATCCCGCTTTTCCTTAAAGGTAAAGGGACCCCTGACCATTAGGTCTAGTCGTGGCTGACTCTGGGGTTGCGGCGCTCATCTCGCTTTATTGGCCGAGGGAGCTGGCGTACAGCTTCTGGATCATGTGGCCAGCATGACTAAACCGCTTCTGGCGAACCAGAGCAGCGCACGGAAATGCCGTTTACCTTTCCGCTGGAGCGGTACCTATCTATCTACTTGCACTTTGATGTGCTTTCGAACTGCTAGGTTGACAGGAGCACGGACCAAGCAACGGGAGCTCACCCCATCATGGGGATTCGAACCGCCGACCTTCTGATCAGCAAGCCCAAGAGGCTCAGTGGTTTAGACTACAGCGCCACCTGCAAATAGAACGTCCCTATTTTCATTGGAGAAATGTTGGAGGGTACTGAAATTAAGTGAGGCATCCCTAACTTCTTTTGGTGCTGTTAGCTGGTTCTTTCAGAAGTTGACAGAAAGGGCACAACATAAAATTAATAGCAGCTGCAGGAGGAGGTCATAAACATGACACTGAGGGAAGAGGGCCAGCTTTCCCCATTTAAAATATCCCATTTGTGTTGTTGTTTTTCCTTGTTGAGAGAAGCAAGCTGGTATCAAACAGGTAGTTGCAATTTTCCCCTTGTGAAACAAGTAGCAGTGAGGGGCAGGGGATGCGATTCAGAAAACTGGTGCCAAGAGAAAAAATACCATGGGCCGTGGGACCTCCGTCCAGCAGCATGGTTAATATAGTGGAAGATTCCGCTCTCCCAAACAACATCTAAATTGGCCATATGAGCTCCTGCATGTTCCTCAAAGCAGAGATGTATTTCAAAAGCAACTCAGACAAGAATAATTTGGGAGTGTTTATTATTATATTAGGTCATTCAGAAGGCAGAGCAACCGAACTCATGCAACCTCTTCCCCCCCTCCTCCTCCTTCTTCTCCCAAATAGCTTCCGGATGGTATTTTCCACCTCAGAAACCGCTTACTTGATTGGTACCATATATTTGTTCTTTAGTCTATTCATTGATCATTCTCTTGAATTCAGCAAGCAAGAGTTTGGGCTGCTTAGAAATGCATCCCGGCTGGGGAGGGCATGCCCTGACACGCAACTCATAATGTAGGTAAGAACTTGAACTCACTGGCGCCGCCTCATGATGCATAATTCCCTCTGGAGAATGCCACATACATTTGGCTTTCCTTACCTGTAAATTTGTAAGCAGATGACTTACAAAGATTATTACAGTGGTACCTCAGGTTACAGATGCTTCAGGTTACAGACTCCGCTAACCCAGAAATAGTACCTTGGGTTAAGAACTTTACCTCAGGATGAGAACAGAAATCTTGCGGCGGCAGTGTGGCAGCAGCTGGAGGCCCCATAAGCTAAAGTGGTACCTCAGGTTAAGAACAGTTTCAGGTTAAGAATGGACCTCCAGAATGAATTAAGTTCTTAACCCGTGGTACCACTGTAGTTGCTCAATACAATCAGCCATCAGTATAGCCAGATAGATATGGGCAAGCTTAGGGGGCAGGAATCGTTTTTAAAAGAAAAGAAAAGAAATAAGCATTTTCTAAGCATACTGAAAAAGCATTTTTAATTATTTGACTCGGGGAAGATATTCATTAGCTCAGATGGCAGCACATGAGACTCTTAATCTTAGGGTCATCGGTTCAAGCCCCAAAAAGAATTCATGGATTGCAGGGAGTTAGACTAGATGATGCTTGTGGTCCTTTCCAGACCCTACAAGTCTATGATTAGAATTGGTATTTATGTGCTGGCAGCACTGCAGCATTTAGGCAACTTATGAAAGAATACCAAATCACAAATAAAAATAAATAAAGAAACGTATCTGAAAAACAGCAGCAAACAACCAAATTCCTCCATTATGCAAACCTGTTCATAAAAGCAAAATCCCCATAACACAATGACAAAAGTAAAAGTAAAGGTAAAGGGACCCCTGACCATTAGGTCCAGTCATGACCAACTCTGGGGCTGCAGCGCTCATCTCGCTTTATTGGCCGAGGGAGACGTACAGCTTCCGGGTCATGTGGCCAGCATGACTAGGCCACTTCTGGCGAAACAGAGCAGCGCACAGAAACGCCATTTACCTTCCCGCTGGAGCGGTACCTATTTATCTACTTGCACTTTGACGTGCTTTCGAACTGCTAGGTTGGCAGGAGCAGGGACAGAGCAACGGGAGCTCACCCCGTCGTGGGGATTCGAACTGCCAACCTTCTGATCAGCAAGTCCTAGGCTCTGTGGTTTAACCCACAGCACCACCCGCATCCCAATGACAAAAGTAGCAACCTCAATAAACGATTGAAAACTAACAAAAGAAGATATTACCTCCAAAGCCGTAACTGCATGGGAAGGAATAATAGGCAGGAGATCTGACAAGCAGAGCACCTTGGAATCTCAGATTTTCCTGCCTAATAGCTGCTGTTGCTGCTGCTCCTTGTAAACTGTATGAAGACATGTACTTTGCAATGTGAGGCAGAGATATCATGCTGCTTGCAAATGCACACAAGAGGAAATGTAAGCAGGGAGAGAAATATTCTAACATTACAGAATACCTGCACATAGAATTATAGAGTTGGAAGGGACCCTAATGATCATCTACATAGTCCAACCCCCTACAATGCAAGAATATGCAGCTGTCCCAGGGATCAAACCTGCAACCTTGGCATTATCAGCACCACGCTCTAACCAACTGAGCTATCCAGGCTTTGCAAATGCATCTTCATACTTAACTGTCCATATGTGTGCAGCAAAATTCTCGTGTTTTTTCCCTGGTGATTTTAAACACATACGTAAGTCCACACAGACCTGGGGCCATGCATCCCCATGCTCCGAACAAAATCCAATATTCCTTTATGTCAGCAAATGAATGGAATTCTTTAATTCTGTTTAAGTGACTCTAATATCCTTCGGTGACTAAAATGGATCTGGGATGGACACTAGACCAAAAGATTTGTCTGAAACTGTCAAGTTAGACACGAAGATTTCAGAGATCATTATTTCCATCCAAAATGTAACATCCATGCAACATCTATTGTTCAACGTTAACCCAGAGCACCACCTATTGAATCGACGACAGCCGTTTCCAAACAGCAAACACTCTTTAAATGTGGCAGAGCTCCCCCTGGAGGAACCATGAGGAGACTCTGTTGCCAATGCTGAAAAATTGACTCTTCCATGCAGCATCATGGTGGACAGTTATTCAACTATCGTAATATTAGTTTTGTTGAATGCTGTACTCATTTCTCAGATACAAATGAATGCAAAACAATAATAGACGCACCAAGTACTCCTTCAACCAGTCCGTCTTTAATTTTATTCTTAAACTACTTCACTATATACCGTATTTTTCGCTCTATAAGCCGCACTTTTTCCCTCCTAAAAAGTAAGGGGAAATGTGTGTGCATCTTATGGCGCGGATGCAGGCTGCACAGCTATCCCAGAAGCCAGAACAGCAAGAGGGATCGCTGCGCAGCGCTCCCTCTAACTGTTCTAGCTTCTGGCTTAGCCACGCGCAGCCTCTCCCGGGCAAAGGGAGCCTTCATCCCACTGCCCTGCGGAGGCTTCGCGCAGCTATCCCAGAAGCCAGAACAACGAGAGGGATCATTGTGCAGCGCCCCCTCTTGCTGTTCTAGCTTCTGGCTTAGCCCCACAGTCCCTTCCCCCACCTCCCGGAAAAGCCCCCAAGAGCCGCGCGGAGCGTGTGTGCAGCTCTTGGGGGCTTTTCCCCGAGGAGGGAGAAGGGCAGCCCATCAGCTCCGCGCAGCTTGTGAAAGGGAGCGCTGAGCAGAGCCTGGGATGCATACAGGCTCTGCTCAGCGCTCCCTTTAAAGAATCTTTTTTTTCTTGCATTCCCCCTCTAAAAAATAGGTGTGTCTTATGGTCAGGTGCATCTTATGGAGTGAAAAATACGGGGTGTGTGTGTGTGTATCCCATTTTCCAAACAGCAATTGTGTCAATTGCCCTCTTCATCTTGTCATTTTATAGCGAGACTCATGCTTTGACAGTACTGTGCCAGCCATGCCACCTTGAAAATCCCACAGAGCATTTGGGGATCCCTCAGATTCCATCATTCTCTGGGGATGGGCCATCTCACCTGGCCAGCCCCTTCAGGAGGACTTGCTGTCAACAGCCATTGCACTGTATCCTGTATATGTAGGATCTCCAAAGTGCCTAGTGCAGGCATGGCCAAACTTGACCCACCAGATGTTTTGGGACTACAACTCCCATCCTCCCTAGCTAACAGGACCAGTGGTCAGGGATGATGGGAACTGTAGTCCAAAAACATCTGGAGGGCCAAGTTTGGCCATGCCTGGCCTAGCACATAAATGGGGCTCTTTTGGTATTGCTGCTTTTGAGCATTTGCTTAATGATGATCTAACCCAATACTGCATGGCTTGTAGGTCTGCTGTGATGAGATCTCAGTTTCTCTATGGAACCATAGGAAAAACTGGGGTCTCAGCAGACCCACAAGTCACGCAGCACTGGGCATAAGCAAATGTTCAGAAGCAGCTGTGCTAGCTGTTTAATTGGCTTTTCAAACTTGGCTCTGTGAACCTTACCATTTTATTAGGGGAGAATCCCTTGCAGCAGACAAAATGGTGGCACTTCAAAGCCCCCTCTCTATCGCAATAAGGCAATTAGTCATAGAGGAACACACTCAGGCAAAAGTCACGAGCAACGTGGCCTTCCTTCCTGCTGTGCATCTTGCTTTTGTGCTACAAGATATTAGGAAAAGATGACAGGCTGACCGCGTCAGGTTGATGAAGGCAAAGCTGCCAAGTTCTCCTTTGAAAAAAATAAAAATCACAACTTAATAGGAAACATCCTAGACAGCTTAATAGATATGAGTCCCTGGGGGGTGGGGTGATCTAGTACCATATTTTTTCAGATTCTGTGACTCAACACTTTATTGATGACGAGCTGCCTAAAATAGAGATCTGAACAGCAACAGCTGCTGCAAATGGAATAACTGAGTAGCCACCTGATGCTCAAAGCCCTGTGAAATGGCAAGGTGTGGGATTCGTCAAACAAACAATTCCCTCTACCAACACCCAGTTTCATAGCAACTTGTTGGTGGGGACAAACAGACCACAACTCGCCCTTAGGCTAGCAGCAGGTGTGCCAACTCTAGGGTGCTGATGCGTCTCCAGACCCCTCAATCTTTGTTGGAAAGGAGCTGCTGGCCCCTCAGTGTTGAAAAGGCCCAACTAGTATTGAGCGTGTGCAATGTCACTCACAGCGTGCCACCGTTTCAGCAACTGGCTCCTCCAGAATGCTCAGATTTCTCCAGAGCATACAATGTCTCGCGCGCATCGCTCGTGTGACATCACGCGCATGCAACATGCGCTGCCGCCACCCCTCAAATTTTGGAGGCAACCTAGCATTAATCACCTCCCTGGCCCAGCTGGGCATCCCCTTCCTAGTTTTTGGTCATAACATAATACATATAACATGAGAATACTGCTTAAAAAACAACAACTCCAAAAGTCCTATTATTTATTTAAAACATTTATTTCACTTTTTTATCACACTCAGAGCATCTTATATCAACTTATAATAAAACACTTTTTTAATAGTAAAGCCAAAGGAAAAGATAAAACTAGATAATAGAAAATATGAACAATTCTAAACGTCCAAAAAGAGGATGCAAATCAATTTGGCAATTATACTCTTTTTAGTGTTTTAGTTACCCTTTTATGGTTTATGAAACATCTAAATCTTTTTCACATCATGGCTTTTCCTATTAACTTTTCAACTTTTTAACACAGCAGTCCCTTCGTAGGGACGATATGAATTCTCCTGGTCGAGCATCCATAAAGAATCACACTTTTGAGGTCGAGGGGGTGATTTCTTAAGAGCTGCAATAGTTAAAACAATTTAAAACTGTGATGAAGACAACCTTGGATCACCCAACAGGGATGCACATGAAATCCTAGCCTTATGTTCTATGGTACAATACAACATTTCAAGTGGGATTGTAAAATTGTAAAGAAATATTGGGAAATGATTTACAATGAAATGAAAAAGATGTTTAAAATAACCTTTGTTTTAAAAAAAAAAACCCGGAAGCTTTCTTACTAGGTATTACAGGAGTGGACTTACCAAAATCACAAAAGAACTTATTTATGTATGTAACTATGGCCGCACGAACATTATTAGCACAACATTTGAAAGAAGAAGTGTCCCAGTTAAAGAAGATTGGCAACTCAAATTAATGGAATATGCAGAAATGGCAAAATTGACAATGAAACTAAGAGGAAGAGACGACAACGAATTTAAAGAAGATTGGAAGGAGTTTATTGCATATATAAAGAAGCAATATACACCGGTTAATATATTAGCAGGGTTCTGAGACTACTTGTAATTTAACTATGAATGGACAATAAGTAATTTGAATGGTTTATAACTCTACAATGGACATGTGGTATGTTGATAAGCAATGGAACCAAGGAAGGGATTAGAGGGAAGTCAATTTGTTTTATTTTGTTTCAATTTTATATTGTTACTGTTATTACCTTTGGTATTGTTAGAAAATTAATAAAATGTTATAAAAAAAAAACATTTCAAGTGGAAGTACGTGAATCGCATCTTTAGTGAAGATCAAGGCGTCAAGATGAAACATGTTCGAGACCGCTTGGGGAGCCTGTGTGAGGTTGGACGCCATTTTAAGATCAGTGTTTGCTGCCAGTAAGATCTAATGAAAGCCATGCTTGCGGAGCAATGAGCACTACGTGCTAATTGGCATTTTATGTAACTGCAAAGTGTGCCATAAGTCTTCAGTTTAGCATAGCAATGCTAATTGCCACACAGATTGCACACTTGGTGAGAAGGAGGGTGCTTTGCTGGGAAATGAGCTGCGGAAAAAAGGAAGGAAGCTGTTTGTCAGCTGTCAACTCTTGAGAGGGCCAAACTAGACTTAATGCTAAATGCATTTTTAAAAGTGCAGTTCAGTATATGTCCTCCTTCCCCTTCCTAATTAGCAAGTTTTACCTCATATGTTTATGGCCACATTCACACCATACATTGAAAGCACTATGATGATACCGCTTTAAACAGTCACGTGGCTTCCCACAAAGAATTCTGGGGGCTGTAGTTTCTTAAGGATGCTGAGAGTTGTTAGGGGACTTCTGTTCCCCACACAGGGCTACACTTTCCCAGAGACCCCAGCAAAGAGGAATTGTTCCTCTTGGGATTTAGCAACTCATAGAAGGATAGTGGCCCTGAAGGAATCAGATCCAAAGGATAATTATTATTATTTATTTATTTATACCCCGCCCATCTGGCTGGGCTTCCCCAGATGGGTAGACAACAGTATTTCCATGGCAGAGGAAGAAATTTCATTCAGTTCACATTTAAAGACAAATCTATCTAATTAACACTTCCTGAAAAACTATGCAAACCAATGCATAGCCATCCCCTTGAAATTCACAGTTCTCTGAATTTTGCAACGCAGTGTGCCAGAAGGTAAACTGCATAAAACTGCATATATTTATGAAATCAACATACAAAAGGCAATACATTAGGGATAACTGCATTGCAAGATGGTGTGTGTTAGGCAGGATTGCAAACGGAAATATGTATATTAAGATAAGTACACACAGAAATGCTGATAGATTTTTATGACTTTTTAAAAGTCGCAAACCGATGTGGAAAAGAGCTGAATTTTAAGATTGGAAAAATGAGAAACTGAGAGAAACTGACATT